CAGGCCGATCCCGAATCACCGGGCCTGTGAGATGACCGGTACTACATCCGGGCCGATTTCGAGTACCTGTTTTCAGGCCCGGCAACCCATCAGACCTGGGCCGTAAAAAATGGCCATGTCTAGTCTTGTTCGAATACCGAGTATAAGTACTCGAGGGAGTGTTTGCGTGAATGACGTTTTAAATTTAGCACTTTACTAATCATAGTCCAAACAGTAAAAGGAAGAATAGGAAGAAAGTCAGTGATATGATGCCATAAAATCTATGGATCTGTGAGATGAACAAATAAGAGCAAATTAATTGATTTTGCTGGAAAGTTATTGATTACATTTTAATTTGATCACTTTTTGAGATGTTAATATTAGAAAATTGACATATATAAATTGACATTTAGTACGAAAGAAAAATATTGCAGATTATATTTGTGGTCATTTCTTAAGGTCTCGTTTACTAAAGATGATAGGATTGGACAATTTAATCCCTTCAATTTGCCACATCAAATTAATTGCCCTAAGTTTACCAAAGTAGATAAAATCCTATGATAACTACATTAAATTACCGATTTAGTTAATTAATAATATTTTATAAATTAAATAATATTATTTTAAATTAAAATAAATTATGACAATCAATCGGCAATTGGAAGGGAACAAAGTAGCTTGTACAATGGTAAGTCTCGACATATACGTCGGAGGCATAGTACCATAAGACAAATGATCTCGAGTGGGGTTACTTCGGTTGACTACATGAAGTCAAAAGAAAACCTATCGGATCCGCTTGCTAAAGGCATTAATCGAGATCAAATGTACAAGTTGGTTAGGGGAATGGGATTAAAATCCACAACATAAGAACAGTCTTACCGGTAACCCAACCTTGAGAATCGGAGATCCCGAAACCTTGGTTCAATGGGAAAACTAAGTTTTGACAGTTCAATGAAACACTTGAAAGTTTCACCCATTCCCAAGAACCGTCAAGTGTTAAAATCTGCCTAAGTGGTAAGGTTAAGTCAAGGACTTTTAATGATTCCTATACCTACGGGTGGAGTAAGGCAGAAAATCCCCAAACACTTGAAAGTTTCACCCATTTCCAACACCATATAGCTCTGGGGCAACGGAATAGTATATGATTCATATCCTCTTCCTCTTCTCCACACAGGCTACAGATTAAATCCACCGCAAATCCCCTTCTTCTCAGCTGCATGTTGGTCCCAATATGTCCATGGTAGCACCTCCACATAAAGTTTTTGATTTTCTATTTGATTGGGAGGTTTCAGCTTCTTCTCCACATTTTCCTCCTCTCTGCCCTATCTGCACTTGTGCTGGCTTGCTGATTTTGGTCCTCAATATTCTGCAGGATGGCCTCATAAGTAGGGTCAACAGTAAACACACCATCCTTTCAAAGTGCCAGGCCAGCTTGTCTTTGAGACCAAGTTTGCTCAATGGGATCTTGAGAATGGCCTCTGCTTCCAAAGGCTTAAAAGTTTGTTGGATAAGATCCTTATCCCGCTCCCTTTTATCCTTTAGAATGAGGTCCTCCACTTAGGGGTGGGCAAAAAAACCGAATTTCCCGATCCCGAACTGGACCGAAATGGTCCCGTTCCGAAAAATAAGGGTTCCAATCGGTTTTTAAAATTTTCGTACCGTTCCCGGTACCGAACCGGTTGAAACAATGTCGGTATTGGTTTTTAATATTTTTTTCCCGAACCGTCCCGTTTGTCCCTTTTTTTTTTGTACAAAAATATTACATATATATATATATATATTATATATTATTATTATATTTATGTTAGTATTATAGAATATTGAATCATATGCATATCAGTATGAACTTAATGGAATCATAATGTATTACTATTGCTGTAAATGAACTTTGGAATGGAAATTGGAATCAGTAATGCATGTTTAAGATTTAAGAATTTAAGTGAATGGCTTAATGCAGATTGCAGAAATGTTTGATTGCTTTGTTTGTGCCTTTGCTGCCTTGCGGTTGCGGGTATGGTGGCATCACTAATCAAAGTATTTTTTTTTCCATTGAAATAGTGAATCAATTTGCAGTTTTGAACTTTATTTTTTATATCCGTTTTGTCCCGGTATCGAACCGTTTTGTCCCGATCCCGATTGATACTGATCCGTTTGGGACAGTGTCTCGTCCCAGACCGTTCCCGGACCAGTTCATAAACATGGGACAGGTACCGGGATAGGTCAAATCCCGGACCGTCCCGGACCGCGCCCACCCCTACCTCCACTTTTATGAGCCTTAATTTATCTTCCGGTAACTGACAAGAGAGTTTGAACTGTCTCAAAGTGGGAATCCATGGGGATTCCCAGATGTCAACAGATTTGCCATCTCCAATTTTAAACCTAGCAAAAGTTTTAACACATCCCTCACCCGCAGTCAGCTCTTCCACAATCAAGAATCCCCACTCCTTTTATTTACCTCAAACAAATTCTCTCTGTACAAATATCCACCTCTAATTATCTTACTCATTAATAGGTTTAGTAACTATGCTTTTGTACAGATATGACAAAAGATTATTCATTATCCCAGTCTAATGCAATAGGATATAAGATTGTTTTTCAAAATAATTCGTCTCGTTTAGACATGGCTAGGGTCGGCCCGAAACCGGTCCGCATGCACGGGTCAATGAACCAGACGCGGTTTTGGGTCTTAATTTTTTTTTTTCACCCGTCTATTCCGAGCTTTGAGACGAGCCAAATGTTCATTATTTTTTTGTGAACCGGCCGGCCCGAATCACCGGGCCTGGACCGGTACTACATCCAGGCCAGTTTTGAGTACCTGTTTCAAGCCCGGCAACCCATCAAACCCGGCCCGCCAAAGTCTTGTTCGAATTCGAGTATAAGAACTTGAGGGAGTGTTTGCGTCAATGACGTTTTAAATTTAGCACTTTACTAATCATAGTCCAAATAGTAAAAGGCATAACACGAAGAAAGACATGATTTGACGCGGTAAAAATCTATAGAGATTGTGAGATGAACAAATAAGAACAAAATAATACATTTTGCTGGAAAGTTATTGATTACATTTTAATTTAATCAGTTTTAAGATGTCAATATTAGAAAATTGACATATGTAAATTGACATTTCGTACAAAAGAAAAATATTGCAGATTACATTTTTGGTCATTTTTTAAGAGGATAGTTATAGCGCTGACATACAATATAAGCATACATATAATTAGGGCTAAGCACGGGACTCGGAGAATTCCGAACCGTTCTGAAAACCGAATCGAAATCACTAAAATAACCGTTGACCGCTTGACATTTACCGAACCGAACCGAACCGAAAAAATAATTGGTACTGTTCTGGAGATTTCACAAATATTCGTACCGAGAACCGAACCGAACCGTCTCATACCGTACCGCACCGAAGAACCGAAACTAAGAACCGAATTATACATTAGATGGTTTATTAATATATTTTATGTCAACTTTGATCCTATATAATATAATAATTATTAACTTTCACTTAAATTTCATGCTTAGTAATATTTGATCTAGAATTTTTTTTATCATAAAATAAATATTTAAAATAATATGAAAAGTTAAAGAATATTTTTTTAAGAAAAAAAATATTATATTTTATTTTAATTTTAAATTTTCAATATTAGTTGCCCAAATTTAGTCTTAACTAAAATCTAGAGTTACTTTTAAATTTGATTTCAAAATAAAATCTTTAATATAAAGAAGTATTGATGAATGTTGGTTTTAGTAAAGCATATAAAAATTAAATAAATAAAATTTAGAGTTGCTTCTAAAATTGATTTCAAAATAAAACCTTCAATAAAATGAATTATTGATGAATGTTATTTTTTTAAGCATATAAAAATTAAATTATAACTAGGTAGTCATTGAAAAAAATTAAACAAATAAAAAATCTCCGAAGATCCGAACCAAACCTTCCCAATAGTCCCGAATAACGAACCGAACCGAACCGAACAGGAAAATAAAAATCTCCGAATTGAACCGAACCGACCTTATGATACGATTCCGGAGATCGAATTTTGGGATCTCCGAATTTTGGTATGGTGCCGGAGATTTATCAATCTCCGAACTGTACCGACCCACGCTCACCCCCACATATAATCATTAAAAATAGAGGATTTTCTTGTACCACCTATGCATCTAAAACACTACAAACAGCCTGCGAAATAAGGGTAGCCACGTTTTCATCTTCGCTCGCAATAGACGTTTTTGCCCCCGTGACTTCGACAACGGCTTTGCCAGGCTCGGTCACCGTGATAAGGGAACCCGTGTGGGTCCCACCTGAACCCACCACTTCCTCCACCACCGGATTCATACCCAATTTTCGAAGAGCCGTCAAAAGGGCATTCAACTTCACTCCTCCAAAACGCAATGCCTCCTTCGGCTTTGGCCGGGACGCGACTTGCTCGTTCCCAGCGAGTAACCTGTATTTCCCTTGCTCCACCAAAAGCTCGCCCTTCAGTTTAGCAATGTCCACGTCTTGTCGTTTTAGTGTCGTGTATTTGAGCTGGCAAGCCAACTCTATAGAGATGTCGAATTCCGAGTACTCCTTTGTCTACGGGATTTGCAGCGTCTCGTTTTCATGGTAGTAGCTGACAGAAAATGAAGTTTCCAGAGAACTCATATGCTGCTTGAGGATACCAGGGAACTGGTCGAAGGCACAAAAAACACACCAGTTTAAGGATGAAGGCGTTAATTAATTAAAAGCCAGTAAAGGAATAAATTGTATTTATTTAACACCAGAAAGGAGGAGTTACGAAATGGATATCTTTACCAGAACATGCTTGGGTTGTAATATCTGCAGTAGATGACGAGACTTGTGCAGCCTGACAACAACAATAATATGGAAGGATTTAGATGCATCGAATAAATATAACTTCATTTATCTAGTGTCGACATGCAAAATGACAAAGGTCAAGCTGCCCCCAAACTCAAAGCAGTGGGGGTATAATGTTGAGAATTTACTAATCCAAACGATAAACAGAAGCAACACCAACTTACTGCAATCCTGAGAGGAAAGAACACTGGAGGACTTTCATTGCCATTGGCTTGAAAGGCAGGAAAGCCAGACTGGCATCCACCCTATCCTGTAAATATAAGCAAAACGTTAAACAAGTAATAACAATTTCTTGAACTCCATCAAAGTGCTCAGGCTAATTATAGTAGACGACAAAATAAATCTATCTTCCATTTAAAGGAATATATTATGATGTAGGTACCTCCATAACAAGTAGTGAATTTGGATACCCACACCATTTCAGGAGAAATGAATAGCAGGTCCAAGTCGTAAACTCCAGTGGGGACAAAATACTATGCAAGGTTCCTGCCAAATTTTTCTGTCTTCATAATATCAGCAAGCAAAGTAATCATTGCAAGCAAATTATAACACAAAAAAATTATCATCTCAATAATGGACCTATTTATTTCTTAGAAATTCGGAATTCAAATCCTTCTCCAAAGAAAAAATTAAAAAAAAAAAACTGTACATTATCTCTACAAAAGTTCATAAACAATTTTTAAATTGACTTTGTCTAACTTACGACATGGGGACTTTCTTTACATCCAATCACAGCCAATATCCAACAATAAACAGAAAATATAAAATTCTGAGATTCTAGAAGGAGCAACTGCTTATCACATGCATATATCTTACAAAAGTTCGGCAGAATGGATGGCAGGAAACAAATGAAGCCTTCCATCTTTTAGCATCTCGGAATGAGCAAATAATTGTTGACCACAGTAGAGCTGTAATAATGGAACAAGGGGAAACAAATTTTCTCGTCCTGTGGCTTGGTAGTCAGTAAAACCTCAGATTTTAAATGTGAAAATCTTCAATTTGATATACACGATCTTGCAGTTGCTTGCATAACCACTCTGGTATAATACTTGTGAATGCCATAAGCTCTTCTGCAACAGATGAAATTACAAAAATAGGAACCTGCAACACAGTGGTTGAAGATTGTTCGAGAAATGGAAAAGGAATATAACTTGAAAATGGAGCTTTTAAAATGAATAATGCATCAAGTCTCAGTATTGCCTTATAATGTTTACTTCAAGAATAATAGTATGCAACGTAGTAAAACAGCATAGGGTTCGCCTGTATGAGCTAAAAAAATAACATATATTGCAAATTGGTACAAGATATAAATGAATGTTCATATTTACGCGATTAGTCAGTGCATCGGAAAATCAAGGTAAAAAACTACACCTCTTTCATACCAAAAATTTATTGTTCTCCATAATCTTATGATGGAAAAAGGAAACAGGCTCGACAACCAAACGTTGATTTCTATTAACTAATAGGACATGAAAATGAAAACATTCAATGTTAAATTGTTTAAGTCCAAACTTTAAGTGTGACAATACACCATATTATTCTTAAATAGTAAAAACATGTCTCCTATATCTTTTGCATTTAAAAGTGTACCTTCATGTTTTCAGATGACAAATCAAGAGCAAAACGGTCCTTTCATAGAGTCCACCGAACAAGAACATACGAAATCCAATTTCTCCATCTCCTCCAAGTACTCATCATCATTAAGGAGAGTGGCACTTGTAACAATATCATCACTGCAGGGTAAAATTGCAAGTCCAATCAATTCAAATCCAAATGAGAAGAAAACTAGTCAAACAACAACATTACTGTAATTCCATATCCCTCCTAATAAATAAATGCAGAGTTCCCAAACCTATGTGTCGATTTCTGGTGCTTCATAATCCTATGTGTAAATTTATGGTGCTTTGGAGTATTTGATATAGATATGGACTTCTATCCATGTTTATTAGGACTTTCGAAATTATTAAACACTCGACAAACTCAGTTTATACATATATTTTAAAATTTTAAAATGTCTATATTTGTTATCATAATTTTATACATTCAAATTAACCAACTCGTGACGAGCTTCGACATATATATATATATGTATATATATAGTCCACTATAATATATGAATTCGAAAATTATCTATCAATATTAATTGGTAGATTTAATATCAATATTAAACTATCTATAAATATTAATTAAAACATTATAAAATTACTTCTTAATTTAGTAAATTTATCTATCAAGTCCATTATACAATATAAATTAGAAAAATTGTTATAATATGGAAGGGGTAAGCCGTACAAGTGACAAGTGTCATTTTAATTAGTAATAATAATGTAATATTTTGAGAATTACTTGAAACTTAAAACAAAAAAAATCTCTTCCTGGTTTTTTTTTTTTAAAAAAAAAAAAGGTATAAATTTTGTTTAGCACCCGTGTAATACAAGGGTGTTCATACTCCTCTAATTCGACTATGAATTTAGAGAGCCACAGAAGAATTTGCTAACTTTTAGTTTTTGCTTTGAAAATTTTCTTTTCTTTAGAGAATAATAATAATACAAAAATGAAATTAGGATGGTGACATTTTGGGAATGTAATTTAATAAGAAATATAATGATAATAAATTAATAATCAAGTAATGATTGGTTAAAAATTGTAAGAAGTAAATAAGTAAATCGACACGAGAAAATATAAGAAAAATATAAGAGTGAGCGAATAATGCACCTTATGGAAAATTTGCAAAGGCATCCAACATGTTGTGGTAAAATATTTAGAGAAACAAAACAAAAAAAATGGTATCCTCGGCACGATATAAATGATTTAACCTGTTCCATGAACATAGGCTAAGCAATCAAATAGTAAACTCACCTCAAACTTGGAAAGTGATCAACACCAGCACTGGAGCAATTGTTATCGTCATCGAGTTTGTCTGTGGCAATTTGTGAAGAGAAATCTGAATAAATGATCACATCCATTCTTTGAAGAGCCTTGTAATCGAATCCCATTGCCGTGGTTGATGAGAAGACAGAATTTGAAACATAAGAAATACTTCCTTTTGGACTAGAGATACTCCAATTGCATGAGCCAATTTCTAAACCAGAACTAAATGGTTTCACAATCAGCATGCCATTGTAGCAAGCTTCTTCAGCAAACTTGAGAGATTGAACCTTTGACATGCAAGCCTTCACATCAGCTGCACTGAGAAATATTTCTCATTACATCTTGAAACACAAGGTTTTCAAAAACACTAATTAATACTTCAAATTTCGGAAATCAATTTTTTTATGAACATATAAGAGAAAAACAAGTTTTGTCCACTGCAAATGGAGCTGGAAGAGTCATTGTTGACAATTCTCCTGACATAGTGCTAATAATGATTAGATCAAAATGGCTCAATTAAATTCTAGTGCTTCTTCTATTAGTGAAGTTTCTAGAAAAAAAAAAAAATATATCAAACAAAGCAATGCACCTTGGGTCGCTACGAAAACAGCCTCCTTGTATAATTACAAGGGTAAGGTTTGCGTACAACTGACCCCCATACCCCAACCAGTTGGGAATATACTAAGTATGTCACTATGTTGTTGTTGTATAAGAGAAAAACAAGTAAAGCAAGGCTAGCGAGCACAGAAAAACATAACCAGATAATTTCAAAACAAATAAATGTGAACACAAGACCCATACAATGTATACCTGTATAATGGCATCCAACCACCAAAAGCCGTCCCGTCAGCACCACATATGACCAGCCTCAGCTCAAATGGAATCAACTCAAGTTCATCCCACTTCATCCACTGAGGCGCATTACATTCTGCAGGCCCATAAAATTGCCTAAACTCCATATGTATGTTCACAAGATCCTCCATCATCAATTGCCCAATTCTAGCAGCAGCCTCAGTTGCATACACCTAGACCACCACACATGCCAAAGACAATCATATTGTAACCATTGTTCAATAGAAAACAAGAATAATGAAATAAACCACAGAGAAAATAACCTTAAGTGCAACGTCTACCTTAGCCGAAAAATCTCTATTCCGTGTAAGATAGGGTAACCCCAGCATGCCCATAGGACTAGATATCAACACTACATCAATGAATGAAATATCCCACAAAAGCAAGTTCTTGACCATTCTATATCGGGGTAAGGCGTGAATTAAACTAGTTGCATCTAGGGGTTTGTCAATTTTCAACTTTTCTCCTTCAGTTGAGCTGGAACCCACGTTATTTTCACAAGAACAGGGAAAATGATCTTCGTTATCTATTGTGCTTGTATGCAATGGGACAGGAGAAAAGACTGTTAGGGAAGAGAGGTCCATGGGACAATCAAACAAAATCCTGAAGCCAAAAATATCCAGAATGTGGCATGGCGGGAAG